GTTTTTCCCGTTTTCCGATGGCACCCGGAAGGATCATGATGGGATCCCGAACCCGATGTGATTCCGATAGAATCCTGGTCATGGTGGGATCCCGATCCCGGTAAGATACCGATCCCGGTGAGATCCGTTTTCGGTGGTATCCCAAACTAAATGAGATCCCAATCCGGTGGGATCCCGTTTCGGTGAGATTCCGATCCCGATAGGATTTTGATCCTAGTGAGATCCCAGTGGGATCCCGATCCAGTGGGTTACCGATCCTGGCGGGATACCGGTTACGGTGAGATCCTGTTTCGGGTGATATGCAGATCCCGGTAATTATGGGGAGCTCACACACTTGACATACGAACCCAGCATACAAGCCACATTGCAATTGTTACGAGCGCCTTAGGAGAAATTCCAGTTGTATTAACGTTATTTGTTGCCACACAAGGTGCGCGTATAAACCAAAATGCTGCACCATTAAAAATGCCTGTTGCATCAACAATTTTAGTTATTGTTTCTTGGTCGTCCTGCAAGTTTAAACAAAATGATCCTACAACAAGCAATACCGCAAAGCCAAAACGAGTCCGTCTTATAATATAAAAAAAAATAATCACTAGCCCTCACTTTACTCAGCGCAAATCAGTCACCAGTAATAAGCGCATTTGCATACGAAAAAAGAGGAGGGGTGCTCAAATTAGAGCTGACCAATCACGGACAGCGTATTAGCAGCCTTCAGGGTGATCAGCTTNGAAGAATCTAGTATTTCATTCTTTTTTGTGAACATGCTTAGTTTGAAAATTTCGTTTAGCATTACTAACTTATAGGTGGCTAAAAATCTGGCATAGCGTAAAAAGAAAAATACAAACAAATGGGGGCCCTGTCACTTTGGTTGGGGGATGTTTAAAGACTCTTTAGAGGTAAAATAAAAAGAAAAGATGCGATTTATAATCTAGAATTACTTAACTATAACTGCCTGGATTTAATTATTAAAGAATACACGTAAGTTTAAATGATAAAAAAATTTAAAATACGAAATGCGCTAAGAAATAATTTCGCACCTGAACTGCACTTTTACCTTTAGTGTTAGTGTTAACTAATACTATCTGTACTAAATTTTACAAGGAATACACATAATTTTACCCGCGATAATACAAAATTCGATCAGAAATAATATATGCACCTGAACTGCAAGATTACCTACTAAGTCTAAACTAATCTACTAGTACTAGTGACTAGTACTACTACTAATAATTCACTCTATAATTTATTTCAACTATGTGTGAATATTTACTTATTTTAATTTAATAATTCGTGTCTAATGTATCTTTTTTACCAATTGAACTCTTTTCATCCAATTGTTTTTGCTCCTTAGCAAAACTGGGAGCAACCGACTGATTTTCATCAACGAAGCGGCCATCTTCATCGGTTTGGGGATCCGGAGTATCCGTTTCTACTGTTTCGCTTTCTTGACTAATCTCGGCAGCAGTGTTCGCAGCATGTTCTTCATTCTCCTGCTGAAAGCTGGAACCTCTTCCTCTACCACGCCCAGATGAACGTCTCTTTGGCATGCTTCAATTATATTTTATAATTTATTTCCAATTTAAATATTTATTTTTTTTTGCAGCTACAAAAGTCAGATAACAGCGTTGTGAATTTCAGTTGTATCAATGAGTGCTGGGCCTTGATTGGAATGATGGTCACGCTATTTACCGAGATCTGAGAAAGGAATTGATTGATTTGAGTTTTAAAAACGTCTTCATCAGATGTTAAAATTTGTAATTAAATCATTTTTAAAAACATGCTTTTTTCGATTTTTCACACGCAACCCCCTTTTATACTTTTTACAGCAACACAACAAAACAAAAAAACATTTTAAAATCCAAAGACGTGTTATATTTCAGATACACCAATTTAATAAATTTAGTCTTTAGGATAGGAAATGTAGGCCTTCTTATTTTTTTTAAGGAGGTTGGGGGCTGGGTTATGGTTAATCAATGGTATCCTTTGTCATTTATTGTAATACATACTTATTTCATTTATATAGACTTTTATACTACAATCTACAATTGACAATGTTGATTTTTATTTAAAATCGATGCCTAAGTAAAGATGCAAATTTGACGTTAAAACTTCCTCACGACATGATGAAGACTTGTATTACTTTTTGAAATAAAAATATTCTACTGAGCGGTGGAGGGGAGGGGATGTAATGTTTTAGGTTTCCATGTGGTTCTGGGGAAGATATTGAAATCCAACCCTAACCGAACACACACCGAATTCGAACCGGGCCGACGACCGAACCAAACCCTGATAAGGACAGAAGACTATTTCGCGCATAGGCTTGATTTGTAATTAATGCGTGACAAATTAAACACCACTATGTAGCTGACTCTTTTTTATCTAGCAACTTGTATCGTTCAAAAGCAAAAAATAATTTTAAAAAGTGTATAAATCTAATACACATTGTGTCAGAGTTACCAGCCTGGTCACCAGGCGTCCGTATTTAGTTAGAACAATCTGTATTTTCGACCACCTTTACTAAATTTTGCGACCGTATTTGGTCCGTACTTTCCACTCGTCGTCCGGCTTGTCCGTTCTTTTGGCTGCGACAACTTACTTGCCTTATTTCCCTTTAATTTTTTTCATCTTATTCCTCCCCAAAGGTCAGCGCAGTGAATACTTTCAGCGCAATCGTGCGGAAAATGTCTCGTTCACTTAAGCATTACTGCTGCACTTGAATAAAACTGCGTGAGACTATCTGTGCATGTAAATGAAATTTTCCCAGGGAAAATTGTTGATAGAAATCTCTTTGATATGTTAACTTTTGTGAGACACAAGCTGAAAGACTGGAACTCGCAAAACATTTCTGTAGATCAAATAAATGGGTGCAAACATTTCAACATTTCAAAGCAAATGCTACACCGTCTGTATAATTTCAACAACTGCTTGAGTTTTCATTCAGCCTTCCTGGCACAACAATCACCTGTGGAGCGAGCTTTCTCTCACGTTAACAATGCTTGATCGCCTGAGAAAACGCAGCTGAAAGTAATCACTCTGAGAGATATTTTGATTGTTCAGTGTAACATTCATCCAACGTGTCCCGAATTATATGATACGCTTCTCGAGAATGGAAATTTGTAAAAATCTGCATCGTTCTCCACACATAGCTTATGTATCGTCCCGCTTTAGCTACGTTGTCAGGCAATCTTGGTCTGAAATAGTCTACAATGTTTTCAGACCATGATGATATCACTGATATGATTCCAGATGTAAATGCAGCTACAGAATGTTGTGATTGCCAAAATATGTGTTACTTTGGTTTTTATTTTTTTTATTTTTATTTTTTTTTTTTGTGTTTACCCTTCGTGACTTATCAAGCTTTTAAATTACAATTATAGTTCCTGTACATTATCAAGTATGTCTTTCAGAGTTCTTTATCCGCCCCCCCCCCCCTTTCCACTCCCGAATAAATAAAATAAATGATTATTTCACATCCTCTCCCCCCTCCCCCATTAAGATTTTTTTCAATCTTACATTATGAAGAGTAGATGGGGAAAAGAAAGATGGCTGGCTGCTTGACAACATAGGTGTAAACAATCACAAACACACGAATTCATGGCTTGAAAGTTAAATTAATGGTTAGAATTAGTTAAAGGTAAGCTGAAATTATTGTAGATTATTTAAAATTATAAATTTATCAATCATCATTTATAGTTTTTTAAAGAAAATATATTCGCAAAGATAGTTTGTTTAAATTACCAAAAACTATTTTAATTTTACTGACAATGTCGTTGAAGTTGAATGCCAATGAATGTCAATACTAAAATATTGCTGAGACTGAGAGGGCGAGACCGAGGTTTTGAATAGCTTACTCAGATGGGCTTTGGTTGAGGCCGTTAAATTAGTAACTAAAATGTTACTAGTATCTTAGAATATTGGAATATATTATTATATATCTTGCTTCTATTTCTATGTCAATCTATGTGAATGATTCAGTGAATGTCTATAAACTACGTGACATGATTTATTAGTAACGAAATTTTAGTTTATTAGAATTTAATTAATTAATTTATTATTTATATTGAGATAGCAGATAGAAATATAAAATACACCCTTTCCTTTACTTACAGTTACATTTTACATTATTCATTATTATTTACTTTAAAGGCAGATACTCATTGTCATAGGTCCAGAATAGGAGCCAGAAGAGAATCATCAATACATTGATGGTGGGCATTCAAAATATAGAAGAAAAGCAGAATAAATACTAAATAAATAAATAAATTCATTTGATGATGTAGTAGAATACAATTTAACAAATCTTATGCCTATGACTATATTATGTATTTAAATTTAAGTTATTTACATCTCTCTTAAGTATCACATGCTGAAAAAAAAACAAGGTGACCATGCTAATAATGCTATAAATATTAAGACATTAAGTTAAGCATGGTCCATGGATACACTTTAGCACAGATCATTGATTATTAATTGTGACATAATAAATTATAATGTTATTGGCATAACTTTAATAAGGCTAAAAAATGTGAGTGCCCTGAAAAGATGCAGAAATCAGAATGTCATTATAGATGATACCTTTTGTATTTTGGAATTTTCAAAATATAGTTTTGTTTTGCTCATATCATGATCAAGACAAAAATTACTGACGCACTTAATCACAATATGACACTTGAAAGCAGTAGATGTATTTTGTCTTCCTCTTCAAATTGTAAAAAAAATTGATTTTAAATACATATCTTCAAATTAATATAATTGATAACACGCATTTAGCTCCTTTTTTGTTGCACATTATCGTTGTTTAAAGTAGTGTTCATTATATTTTCATTTGGAATAAGAAAAAACAATGTTCCTCTTTCTATTTTTGTACCCTATTAATGACACAAATAATATGCATAAATTATGGTTATTTTGTATGAGCATATTGTAAAAGTAAAGGCTATACTAAACATGCATATTTCCCAGCAGTGAATAAAAATTAAAAATGCCCAGTGCTGGTGCTCTTCCTGCTCCTTTTATCACCCCAATACACCGGGATTGCCATGGTCTACAGCTTCCTGTCAACAAAATTGATGTGTCAACACTCATTGAATTAAGCACTGGTGAGGCCTATAGCATAAATCTGCTTAAATGTTTAAAATTTACTTAAACCAAAAATCAGTAGAATGACTTGTAAATCAGTTTAAGTAATAAGAACTACGCAGCTGCATCAATGAAATACCAGTTCATATCACACCTCTCCATGTCTGCTAGCTGAAATGTTATTCTACCCTTCAACAAATCAAACAACAGTTTCCTCCTTATTTATAAATATATTTACTATATTTAAAGATTATAAAGGAAAGATGACCCGCATTTATTATGCTAATGCAAAATGTGTAAAGTATTCTTTACAGAAATGTTTAGTATTTGTCAAAGATAGTTATTTTTCTCAAAATAATTCTATAATTTGTTTATTCTTTTTTTTTCACAGAGGCACCAAATTGTAAAATATATTTTACAACAGATGGCAGCAAACCTTTACCATTTCAAAGAAAAATTGGTGGCAAAGAAAGAACATTTAAATATTTTGCTCCATTTACCTTAAAGGCTGGAAAACGCACATTAAAAGCTGTTTCTGTTTCAAGGTTTATTTTTATTTTCAAATTCTATATTTATATTAGTAAAGTTAAAAAAGTTGACAAAAGCAGATTACAGTTCTGCATTAACAAGTTCTTCATCTTCTTACATGACTTTTGTGATCCCTGCATCAGCCATTGTCCTTTGTTAATGTGAGAGTACCTGATTTTAATAACTACCATTTCAATAACTTCTTGAATTTTTGTAATTGAATCTTATAAATGCAAGACATAATACTAGTGAATAGCAAATGGTCATTTTTTTGGAGGTGGGAAATTGTATTTGGGTCTGTAGGCTGCTAAAGACTTGGTAAAATTCTTTATTTTTTAGAGATGGACTTCTTGAAAGTGCTGTTGTCTCTAAAGACTTCAATGTTGCAGACCTGAATAACACAGGCACAACTGATGGATATGACAGCACTACCAGTGGAATGACATTACAGTCATTTTTAACAGAATCATCTGATGGTGAATACAATCTCAAGCCAGGGAAAGTGAATGGCATACGGCAGGTGGGATTTAAAATAGTTAACACTTGGTATTCAAGAAGCAAAACAAATCATTTCTAGAAACCTGATGTCCAAAATGAATTGTTTTAAAGCTACAATTATATATATTAGGCTATTGATTAAGAATTTGTGTACAGTTACATTTCTTAGAGCATAAAATCGCTGTTCATTTTTCAAACTCATTCCTTTTATATTGTAATTTAAAAGTAAGACCCAATGATCCTTTAAGTCCTTAAAAAATATATATACTCATAAAATTAGAAACGGTCACCTGAGAAATCAAGACGAGTACCTCCAAAAGAGGCATGGACTTCTACCTACTATCAAGACCCTTCAGCAACTGGAGCATCTAATGACAGTGAGTTTTTATAAGTTCAGCTTATAAGGAATAATGAAAAATAAATTTTGATTAATAATAGAAACATATGTAAAAAAATATTGGACTTTATAGTAGCTTTGCAATAATTTTAACAAATAACCTAACAAAAATGACAGATAGCGAACACTTTTCTGAGGATGCATTACAGTTTTTGTATTATATTTATATGAATTTTTTACATTTTTATTTGATAATAGAAATTATTTTTTTACATTTTACTTGCTTTTTCATTAAAGAGAACATTAACTAAATCTATTAAATCAAAATTTAACTTAAGTAATTAATTTCAGTTACGGATGTATGTGTGATATATTATTCAAGAGTATTTCTTATTCATGTAGGTCAATATCCCCAAATGTTAGATGGACAATTTAATCCAAACAAATATTATGGGACACAAATAAATGTCTGGGGAGGTCCACCAGGCTCCTGGCCTGGGATGAGTGTAAATAATAATGGTACTGTCACATTTGGACAAGGTCCTCCTGGAGCTCCATACCCAGTTCAGTATGGATTTTTGACAGAACAGATGATTAAAGTAAGGATTCTTCTTATTTGGAACAAGGCTATTATATCATGCCTAACAATGACTAGAGAGAATTTTTGCATTGTTTGGTTTTAAACACTGAAAATATGAAATGATACAGATTAATTTTATATTGCATTTATAATGGTAGAAGAAATTTCAAATGCATCCAAAATATTCAATTTCTGGTTGAATTAAATTGATGAAACTTATATATAAATTTGCTCTGGATTTAATTTAAGATGAACAAGCTACAATTTTTTTTAAAGTCCTAAACGATAGAGAGGTGAGTGCTCTCAACAATCATGACTTTAATTTTACAGAATATTTTCACAACTGAATGCTTTTCAATTTTTTTCATTGGTTTGAATAAAAATGATACAATATTTTTATTTAGATAAAACAAAAGAACACCTTTATACTTGACTCTAATTCCAAGTAATTAAAAAAAATTACCTTTTGTAAATTAAGATTGTTTGAAGGAGCAATGAATTTCCTATTCATTTGCCTTTCAGACATATAAGATACATTTATGACTCACTGGAGGTAACCATCCTTATACCATTTCATGATATACATTTTTTAAAATTAGACTGTTACAATTAAAAACAATAGGTGTCAACTTTCCTTAGAAATAATGTTAAAAATCTATTTAAAAAGGGAACTCTTCAATATTTTTGTTCCCCAGGGTCTAAAGCAAAAGGAAGAACCAAAAAAGTCAGAAAACCTGACCCTCGGTGACATCAGGAAATTAATGGAAGAAACAAAACCGAAGCCTGCACCACCTCCTGCCATTGAGTATAAGCCAATCTGGAAAGATCCACCACTAAATGATGTTAGTCCTGGAAATGGTGGGTACACATTACCTTTTGTACCAGAACAAACCGATAAATGGTTTTCCAGGCACCTTGTTAATCTACCTCCTGAAGCTCAAGATTAAAATTCTCATTACTTTCCTCCTCATCGAGGTTTAATTAGCATTTTTGTTGTAATTATTTTCTACAATCTTCATTATATTTTAAATATGTTTAGGTTTTTGGTAATTAATGCAAATTCTTGGTTGTTTTTGGAGGAATCTGTGATAGTGCCAGTTGTGCAAGATGTGCCAGATTTTCACTCCAGTACACATGTACACCAATAGGCTTAAGTTTTAAAAAATTCTTTTAAAGAAAAAACAACAAATTACATTCATTTTTACTTCTGACAATATTTCTAATCTTTAATTTTTAGGAATAATACAGTATTATCAGCAGCCCCATTCACCCTCTTATCAGCAGCACCATTCACGCCCTTATCAGCAGCACCATTAAATATTTCCTATTATATTTTACAGATGATTATCAAGGCAACATTCTTCATGTTTTTGCACATATGCTGGAAATGGCTAAAAATAAAGTTAATTTCAAGAAGAGTATTGGAGAGTTCAAGATGGGCAAGGTAGACATGTATTTCTTGAAGGTGTTAGGAATTGATAGTACATTAATTGATTGAACCACTTAAACTAATTTATTTCATTATAATACTTTTCTTTGATTCTGTATTATTTTCACTGTTTTAAACTTACATAAGCATCAACTACTCAAATATATCAAAACGTAAAGCATTTTGTAACTTTTTGTGTTTAGACAAGTGATAAACAATGTTATTTATATTTAAACTTAAATTAAATATTGACTTGATATAAAAGAAATGTTACTTACTTACTTATGGCTTTTACCCTGTCTGGGGCATAGACCTTCTACAGGAATTTTCCATTCATCTAGGTCCTCTGCCTTACTTTCCAGTTGCTTCTAGGTGTATGCCATTCTTTGCGTGTCTGCTTCTAGTTTGCATCTAAGTATTCTTAGGTCTTCTTTTCTTTTTGTTTCCCTGTGTATTCCATGTTAGGCATTGTCTGGTAATGTTATCTTGGGGTTTTTAGACAAGGGTGCCCTATCCACCTCCATCTTTTCCTTATGATGTCCTCAGCAATAGGCTCCTGGTATGTGCTTGCAGTAAGTCTTTGTTGATGATGGTGTTTGGCCATTTGATGTTCAGAATCTTTTTAAGGCAAGTGTTTATGAAGGTCTGTACTTTCTGCATAATGCTTGCTGTTCACGTTTCGGCTCCATAGAGTAGTACTGTTTTGACATTTATGTTGAAAATTCTGACTTTTGTTTGCAGAGTCAGTTCCTTTAACTTCCATATTTTCTTTGATGTTAGTGAGTATAAAATACTGTTGATGGTTTGTACTAGAGTTTAAGCAAAAGAAATCCCCATTTATTTGTATTGTAAATTCAACATTTTTTTACTACATTATTTATTTATTTTATCTAACAGATCTTGGAAGCCAAACTTGAAGATGAGGGTGATGGTTACAGACTGAACATGGTACTAGCTAAACCAGGAACTCAAAGTATGCTATTTTGACAAATTTGTCTGCTAAAACAAATTTAGCTATGTCAATGTTATGACAGAATTATATGTACATAATTAATTAAAATTTGAAAGAAAAATCTTACAATTGTATGAAATTCTTTTTTTATGTTGATTTAAAGACTGTATAAAATTTAAACAATCACATGACTGACATTTCCCAATGTATAAAGCTTAATAAAATTTAATTTCAGGAGGGCTCAATAAGAAATCTGCTAAAGCCCCAGCTACCAAGAAGTCTGTACCTAAAGCACCTGCCTCTCCCCCGCCTGCCCCCACAAAGCCAGTTGAACCACCCAAACCAGTGGAGCCACCTAAACCCAAGCCTGAGAAGAAATCTGATCCTTACTTTGAGAAAGAAATTGAGAACTTACCAGTAAATGGCTGACATTTTCAACAAGATATTTTCAAAAAGACATTTTCAACAAGAAATTTCTAAAAAGACATTTTCAACAAGACATTTCCAAAAATACATTTCCAAAAATACATTTTTGAAAATTTAAGATTTAAAAAAAATTTATCTTGACTAAAAATATTTTTTAACAGCTTGCTTATTTATAATATCAAATTTTATAATTTTCCTGTCCAAATACACAAATAAAATAGTTTTTTAGGTTTTGTCCATCAAACATTTTAAGGTGGTAACATGGAGAGGACTGATTTCAGGTTGAAGCAATAAGAAATATAATCAGGGTAGTGGAAAACCTGAAGACAAAGTCAACAAAACATTGGCTTTTTCAGATAAACACCTTCAAAAGCAACAAAAAATAACAGAAACAATAAAGGATTTGGATAACCATACCAGAGAATAAAAATAACAAATTATTCCGAGTCAGTAAGAGGGAGATGGACAGGAAGTTATAACATTACTATTCTTTTTAAGAAGTAAGTTAATCTGCAATTATTTATTTCCTTTCTCTGCAGTGTCAGGGAACACTAAAATCATTTGAACCATTCAATGCTGAAGGAGATGCTGAAGTCTTGAAAAATGCCATGAAAGGACTTGGTAAAATATTTGTTGATTTGTAAAATTATTCCTTTAATCACTTGATCAATTTTAATGTATATTTTTGATGACATATATTTTAAAAATTCATTTTTTTTGCTTTCAATTAAGCCTCTTGGTCATGTTTATTTTCAGTAAAAAAAAGTTGTACATATGAAACAAAGTGTTTCCTGTTTCTTCCGTTTCAAAGAACTATTAAATATAAAAGAACCATTTCACAGGTACTGATGAAGATGGTCTTATTAATGTACTGGCTTACAGATCCAGCCCACAACGTGCACAGATTGTATCAGCTTACAAAACTATGTTCGGCAAGGTAAGTAGCAGTTAGGATATGTTGGTGTAACATGAATAGATTAGTTAGAAAAGGGATATACAGCTACTCTTGTCACTGTGTTGATTAATTGTTGAACTTCACCTTCTGATTATGTTAAGCGAATCTCATTTCTTTGCTTTTTTTCCTTAAAAAAATTAAAGCTCAAAAACTGTTACATCAGTAATATGATTAGAGAAGGCAAGCCTAAAAAAAAAAAAATTAATAAATAACTGTTTCTTAATATTTTTTTGATGTACCCTGTTTAATGCTGTATGCATTTTATGCCAAGGTGGGACAGTTTATCCACTTTAAAAGTTATCATAGTTTCCCCAGCATTCGCATTCATGTCATCAAATTAATGAAATAATGTTTATTCAGATTTGGAGACAAATTTACTATGGTTTATCATGAAATGAGAAGATGCATTCTTATATTTCAACACATTACCGGGAAAATGTGTAAATAAAAAAATTTGGGAACATAACTATTTCCATGTTACCAGGATGGATTTTTGGGCAATAATATCCTTAAAGACATACACTTGGTTTTAATTTAGCCTTGTGATGTTACTTTGCTGTATCATGCCACTTTGCTTTATGATTCCACTTTGATGTATCATGGCACTCTGCTGTATCATACCACTTTGATGTGTAAAGAAACCCATCAAAATTCTTCATTGAATGAAACAGGATCTTGCTGAAGACATTAAAAGTGAAACCAGTGGAAATTTCTGTGAGGCTTTGAAAGGTCTTTTACTGAAACCAGCTGAATTCGATGCTCATATGCTGCGTGGGGCAATCAAGGTATTTTTAAAGCACAACTAAATACTGAATCGGCGTGTACGTTCTATTTCATTGAACTTCTGTTTAATTGTTCCAATTATTCCATCTTTTATTTTAAAAAAAGTTAATTTAAAATAAGTCAAGATCTATTCAAATGTCTTTGAAATTTAGAAAATTTACTCTTAAGAAACTAGCAGACTAAAATCAATTCTGCCCACATATGTTTTCAATTTCTTTCAGTTTTTATATTTTATTAATATTTACTATATAATATTTAAATCTAAAAAACTGTCAAACTTATTGCATCTTTCAGCAATGTTCAAGATATTAACTTTCTTATCTCAGGGATTAGGTACAGATGAAGATGTTCTAATTGAAATATTATGCACTCGGTCCAATGCACAGATTCAGGAAATCAAAAAAGTCTACAAAGAAAGTATGCATAGATAATATTATCAATGAAAGTTATTCATAAAGCATTTTTTAAATTAATTTTTTTTTTAAAATCTTGCCAGGTTTGGCAGATATAATGTTGTCTAGAGTTTAGGTCTCCTTTTGTTATGGGCACAATTAACTATTTCAGACTTTGACTCCTTCTTTCCCCCTAGACCCTGCAGAGCTGATGCTGTGAGATTCAAATTATAACAGTTTCTTTGTTTACTGGCTTCATCTGCATGACAGTTCAAAATGCATACACAATAATCTCTGACATTCAGAAAAAACATGAGTGTCTAAAAAATCCTACACATCCTTTTACAAAAACATGGTAACAGAACTCCTAGCAAAAACATATTAATTTACAAGCCTTTTATAGTCATGTTTTCAAGCCAGTCTAGCCCTACGTGAATGATTTCACATAACAATACAGCTACACAATATCATGTGATCTGACCATGAATGATTTCACATAACAATACAGCTACACAATATCATGTGATGTGACCGTGAATGATTTCACATAACAATACAGCTACACAATATCATTTGATCTGACCATAAGATGAGGTTTCTGCTATCTGGAGCGTTAGCAAATGTGTTTTGAGAAATGGGTGTTGTTGAATTTTCTCTGAAGTTTTAAACAGGAATTTTAACCCTTTTAGTCAGAACATTTGCTTAAAAAATTACCATGAAATGTTGTGAAAATGTTAAACACTTCACATGAGATGTAAGAAAGTATTAAAAGTATACTTGCACAAATTTTGTAAGTTTATACCCCCCAAAAATAATGTTTCCATACATGTATCCAACCTTATGAATACATCAATACCATCCCAAAATGTATCCAGTTATATATGCATACACATCTACAGACAGTCTATTGTGTATCCAAAGTTATATGCATGATATCCTGACATTTATGTACACATGTTTTCAGATCTGTATCTAGAGATACATGAAGCCATATACATACATTTACCTAGGCATGTATTCAGATATGTATCCGGAAATTTGATCGAAAGAATTTTTGTCTTCGATAAATTGATCGATGGTAATTCGATCTAAAGGAAATTTGGTCTAATCTTTTTTTCAGTTTTTACGTTAAAATTTTGCTTCAAATTTTTTTTGAACACATTATTTTGTTTCACTATATAGTATAACATTTGATGAAAATTTTAATGTGTGAGCTGAAAAAAAGATTCGACCAAATTTCCGTTTGATCAAATTACCGTTGATCAATTTGCCATCGACGAAATTTCTTTTGATCAAATTTCCGGTAACCATTCAGATATGTATACACATAAACATTTATGCAGCTTGATCAGAGTTGTTTCCAAGGATAAAGTTAGAATAACTCACACATAATGCAGCCATAGAGGAAATATAATAATGTGCAACGAGACATTTATGAAGAAATCTAGGTGTGTATCCACAGTTGCTGTTTGCAGATTTATCCAGCAAAATGCAGACATGCATATTCATGCTTGTAACCAGATATATATGCAAACCTTCCCAGACATGTATTTAGACATATAGTTTGAAAATGATAAAGCAATATTCTATAAATGATGCATATTTTAAATAAAATAGTAATGATGAATCTATATTCTACTGTCCTGACTAGAATTCAATAAAGATCTGGAGAAGGACATCATTGGAGATACATCAGGCAACTTTAAGAAACTGCTAGTGTCTCTGATTCAAGCTAACAGATCTGACAGCAATGACGTTGACAGAAATATGGCTAATGCGGATGCTAAGGTAGGCTCAGCGAATTCCAAATTTGAAAAAATAGAAACCCTTCTGCATTTCCTCTTATGATCTGAACTTTAAACCCCCTGAAAATGTGATAGAGCTTAAAGTTAATACCAAAGGTCTTTATATCCATCAGGCTCTCTACCAGGCTGGAGAGAAGAAATGGGGAACGGATGAGTCTCAGTTCAACAAAATCTTGGCCTCTAGAAGTTTTCCTCAGATCCGGGCCACACTAGAGGAGTACCAGAAAATTTCCAAGAAGGACATGGAGGAAGTACTGAAAAGTGAATTTTCTGGCGACATTCTCAGTGGCATGAAATCTATTGGTAAATTCACATTCATTTTTGTTCCTTTGATACTTTACTGTTGATATTTATCACAGCATCAATATCATTATGATCATTTGTTGAACTAAAAAAAAATCTCATTGACATTGATTAAAAAATCATAATTACAGTGCGATGTGTAAGGAATCGATTTCATTACTTTGCTCGACAACTGCAAAAAACCATGTCTGGCTTGGGGACAGATGACAGCAGTCTCATTCGCATCATCATAAGCCGTTGTGAGATTGACCTGATTCAGATTAAGGAAGAATTTAAAAAACTGACAGGGAAGACACTAGAACAGTTTATCTGCGTAAGTAGCAGTTGTGTTATATTCACCAAACATACTGTTATCTTATTCTAAATTGATAATTATCATTTCCCTCAAAACTTGAACTAAGAGCTAGAGCATATGTTTTGTACTAAAAATTGTATTTGTGAATTAATTATAAGAAGTTCAATTTTTTTAAAAATCAGATTTTAATTGTGTCTCTTTTTCTTGTGACTAAAGGATGATATATCTGGAGACTATCAAAGATTGATGTTGGCCCTTGCCACTGGTGGCCCACCCCCTAAAGCAACAGGTGTAATTTAAAGATTCAGATTTTTATAATAATTACTAATATTAAAGTGAACAGTATTAAAGTTCAACGGTAAATGTCTCATCTAATGTCATCCCATTTGTACTGCCCTGAAATTGTGCTATGTCTCTATGCCTGAGCTGTTTTATCTAATGTTTTACATTGTCCAGATTTTTTTAAAAATCTGAATTTTTTAAAATAAACTTTCTTTATTAGAGAAATATTATTATTTATTATTCTTTAGCTGGCAAAGCATTTGTAGAATCTGTCAAGAATAAAACAGATCAACAACTGGATGAGGACGTCAAGTTGGAAAATGAGCCAAAGAAGGTAACCAGAAGCGTGTCAAAATTAGTTTAACCTAAATGCTATTAATATAAAATATGTTCTCATCAGAAGCCTGTCACATTTTTGTTTCACCTAAATGCTATTAATATAAAATATGTTCTCATCAGAAGCCTGTCACAATTTGTTTCACCTAAGTTTTGTTAATATAAAATATGTTCTCGTTAAGTTTTGTTTTTCTAATTGGCAAATAAAAACATATTATGGAAATGCTCTGTTTATGTTCACAGGAAGATCCAACTCTGCTGCCATTTGCATCATTCAATGCTGAACAAGACTGTGCTGTTCTCATGAAAGCCATGAAAGGTTTAGGTATGTTAACTCATCACACCCACTAGATGCAGTCATACACCATGATACGCACAAGACAATTCAATCATACCCACCAGATGATGCAATCATACACACAAGATGATGCAATCATACTCACTTAATGATGCAGTCATGCTCATCAGGCGACATTCTTCTATTAACGAGATGACATAATCCTATTCACAAGATGACAAAATCATACTCACTTAATGATGCAGTCTGTTAACGAGATGACATAATCCTATTCACAAGATGACGGAAATCATACTCACTTAATGATGCAGTCTATTAACGAGATGACATAATCCTGTTCACAAGATGACATAATCATACTCACTTTATGATGCAGTCTATTAACGAGATGACATAATCCTGTTCACAAGATGACATAATCATACTCACTTAACGATGCAGTCTATTAACAAGATGACATAATCCTATTCACAAGATGACAAAATCATACTCACTTAATGATGCAGTCATGCTCATCAGGCGACATTCTTCTATTAACGAGATGACATAATCCTATTCACAAGATGACAAAATCATACTCACTTAACAATGCAATCTATTAACGAGATGACATAATCCTATTCACAAGATGACCAAATCACTGGGATAAAAAGAAAAATCCTCCTGATGTGCAACAAAAATGTAGCGCAGCCGCTGGCTAACACGCACAGTTTTATTTAATCCTGTATATGGCTCAATCATTTTACCCTTTTTAACATCTCCAGGCACTGATGAAAAAGCCATTATAGGTGTGCTAGCATACAGGTCAATGGAGCAGAGGCAAAAGATTGCTCTTACCTTCAAGACTCAGTTTGGAAAAGTTGGTGTTTTTTTTTTGTTTCGTCTTTTTTGTTGTTTCTTTGCTTTCATCATCAAATGCTATTACAGATGATTGGTTTAATTGTTAAAAGTTTTTTTAATTGTAATATTTTTTGGTGGTTTAATGTCATGGTCTTACGTTGTTTCAAATTAACTAGCAATCAGTCATGTCTGATTATGAAATTGAGTTGTTCTTAACATGTACTATAAAACCTTGTTGATGATGTGCAAGTGTGTGTATAATGCTCACCACTTTGAACCTAAGATGTTCTTGTTATAACCAAAACTTGCCAGAAGTAACTATGCTATAGTGTAGTTGAAGTCCATCACCTTTTTAACTGTGGGTCTATTCTATTCAATAGTATTAATGTTTTTTTTAGGTTTGCAATATTTAATTAATTGGCTCAACTTTTGCACCATCAGCTGTAATACTAAGAATTGTGATCAGAAGCGTTTATTTTGATCTATTAATTAAGCGTTTTGCTGAATAAAAGTAAATGGACCTCACATTGTATTAGGCAATAACGTATATGATAAGAACACAAAGATATATAAATATTAGTAAGAGCCCGCCAAATGATAGTGAAGGCAATGCAGGAACTTCCCATCTACTAAAGTTACTTGACAAAACATGCATTACACTCATGCACCTTATAAGATCCCCAATTAGTACTACACCCCTTCCCCCACACCTGCACACCACGCACACCTTTTTCACACCCGTAACTATATTAATATTCTAATGTTCTACACCCTTTTACATGGCAGATTTATTACATCATATTTAAATTGAGACAACATCCGTAAAATAAAAGAAAACAAATGTACATGCCATATTTTTAAGAATCTTATCTGGAGTTTTATGTTTTTCACACTAGTGAACCCATCATAACACCATACTTTCTGTCATACATAGAGAATTATATTGATTGATTTTTAACATTTTATGTTTGGCTTCTGTTTGCTCCAAATTTACATATATTTTTTTCCCCCTGCTTATTGACTTATTGTCCCTACTGTTGAATTTAACATTACTGTGATATTGTTGCAGGATCTTGGTTCAGAGTTGTCCAGTGAACTGAGTGGAAACTTTAAAACTCTTTGTGTTGAAATGTTGTTAGGACCAGCAGAGTTTGATGCTAAACAGCTGAATAAAGCCATCAAGGTTCAACTTGCATTTTATCTCTTCAAACTAGTTAAATTAGCTCCCTTGCAACCAGATTAACTGGTATTTAAATATTGTTATGTTAAGTTGATAAATTGTTGCTGATGTGGTTCAACTGTTGATTTCAACACATCCGGTTTGTTTTCTTTTCTTTAGATGTCCAATTATAACTTTAATACCATCTTGTTTGTTTGAAATACTTTTTTTAGAATTGTAATTTATGTTAAAAATAAAGTTAGTTCTGAAATAGATTAATTGAAAAACATAAAGGAAATAACTATTACATATCCCATTTTTCTTATTGTATAGGGCCTCGGGACAGATGAGAAAGTTCTTGTTGAAATTATATGCACTCGCACCAATGCACAGTTGAATAATATCAAGACTGCTTATAAAACAAGTAAATATTTTGTTCATCTCTTTTTGAGGAAACCCTATTGATAAAGACTATTTATAAAAAAAATTTCAGGCAAATATAAAAATTTATGTAAATCTTAAATGGTTGATTATAAGCATTAAGCTGCAGTTGTAGCTAATCAAACAGCATGAACAGTAATCTTAACCAACCTTTCACAATTTAAATCTATGACAAAAATTTATATACATTTAAATGGCCAGAGTTTCATGAAGTAGCAAACCTACAAAAGAAATATCAAGCTGTAAATATTGCCCTTAATGTCTATTAAGGAATAAATTAAATACATTAGTGATTATATAACTGGATCTCTAGGGGTTTAAAAATGTCTATTGAATTAATTGAAGTACCGTCAAACTTCAGAATGTCTATTTTTGTATTTTTTCAGTGTTTAGCAAGGACCTAGAGACAGATATTGCAGGGGATACGTCTGGCTACTTCAAACGTTTGCTCATTGGATGCCTGCAGGCAAACAGGCCAGAGAGCTTAGAATTTGACAGAAACATGGCCAAGCAGGATGCTCAGGTGAGCCATCTTGTAAAGACAAAAAATTCAGTTAAATTCTCCAGTTTTAAAATTAACTGTCTTACATGAAACTTCCTGTCACACACAACAGCTTACATTCTTTGAGAACTGCCTCCTTTTAACTTGTCAGGGGTCAACCACCAAAATATATTTGCCTACAGCCCGGTAACTGAGACCATACCAAAACCATTTTCCTCTTGTCCCGATCCTTACATCTTTTTACATTTTAATGTATTGCAGGTCATTCTACATCATTAACTGATATTATTTTTCTTGTTATCTCATGCCTATATAATATGTTGAGCATAAATCCAGTTTCATCCTCCATTTCCCTTATAATACAATTTTCATCAATCTTAAAAAAGTTTTCTATGATACAATACACATTTTTTTCCTGAATTCTGATTACACAAACAATATTTTACCTAAGTATCTTTTTTTATATGTGACAGAAACAAGCATATATCATAAAATTAAATGTCAAACCACGGGAGAATCAGAAATTTACAAGACGTTGCCAAAATTTTAATACATGCAATCATCTTTTTAAATTATTGAGGAAATAAAGAGCAAACGCTAATTTTCTAAATTTTCAAAAGCTTATCCCAGAACATAATATCTGTAAATGTGTTTGCTTTCTTCAGGCTTTGCTTGAAGCTGGAGAAAAGAAATGGGGCACTGATGAATCAAGATTCCATACAGTAATAGTTTCTCGAAGCTATGCCCAGTTGAGGGCAACATTCCAAGAATATGCCAAAGCTGCAAACAAAGACATTGAAGACAGTATAAAGTCAGAGATGAGTGGAGACTTAAAGGAAGGAATGTTGGCCATTGGTATGAGACTATTAATTTTTTTTTTAAATTATAATATTTTGTGTACTTTAAGACTAATAACAGGAAAAAGCAAACAGAAGAAATTTTTGTGAATGATTTTATGTAATACACTTTCACAATTAGACAAAATGCTCTAAATAACAAAATAATGTGAATGCTAAATTAAATATGTGTCTGCTATAATTACTTAAATTATCTTTTCAGTGCGTGTTATCAGGAACAAATCAGCTTATTTTGCATCAGAGCTGCACAGGTCAATGAAGGGATTAGGAACAGATGATAATACTTTGGTGCGTATCGTTGCCTCCCGGTGCGAAGTTGACATGGTGCAAATCAAAGAAGAGTTCCAAAAAGCATACAAGCAAACACTAGCCATGTTTATCAGCGTAAGCTCCTTATACATCTTTTTCTGTTATAATTCTATATTATTTTTATATGCATCAACGTAATATTAGTTTAGTTATGATTTTTAAATTTAAAATAATTAAAATGGAATCAAAATTTGCAGGATTTTTTTCTATAAATGCTCTATATATTTTATTTCATTTTCCAGGATGACACATCTGGTGACTACAGAACTATGTTACTAACTCTTATAGGTGAACCACCTGCCAAAAAATAAGTAGAAAATAAATGAACCATTAAAGTAATTTTTACATACATTACATGCCTGCCGAGAAGATGATTTCTCAACAAGATTAGCATTTGCATTCTGTGTACTTTGATTGTTAATTTGGTAAATGATCTCAATATTCTCTATTGATATGAATGAAGAGAAGAAAAATCAAAACACAATAACTTTAAAAATTATTTGCGGTATTGAGATCCAGACCTTTCTTATATTTTGCAAGTAAAATAATTACATAGCCTTTAGGTTGGGGGAAATACATTGACTATCCTTAACAGTTTAATATATATGACTGAACTTGCAAAATTAGATTCTTAGAAAACGTTTTATACACTTTTAGATAAATAAATATGTTACGCATTGTGTGTGATAACGAGTAGGGTTAAGTTTTGTTCTTGACAAAATAAAATATGTAATGTATTTGAGATGTATACTCATTAATAAAAGCCTGTGAAAGCTACACATATTTAATAGTTTTTAAAATTTTTAAAATAATAATTTTTTTTTTTTATATTATCTTAATGGATCAAAAACACCATTTAATTATACTTAATTTATGCCTCCACTAGACTGTCAAATAACATTACTTGTATATTTAATATACTTAAACTAATATTATATAATTTACAAATGAACATAGGTATTTTACAACTTGATGTAATGAGATAAAGAAAATCTCTGAATTTTCCACACTGATCAAAATGAATTTGTATTAATGTTAAGAAATATAGTTTTCTTGGTAAAGGCTGTAAAGTCTATTATAGTGTAAAAATATTCCTGTATATTGTTAAAATTCTTTTTTTTTTCAAAGCATCACATAATATATATTAGCTCATATCTAAAATAAAGTTAACGTTATTATACATTTTCAGCACAGCATCTTTACGCACATAATTATATCAATAATTAACATTTTACTTTTGTCAAAAAATATTGCTTAATAATTAATTTGGTTTACAAAAAAATGTTATAAATTTACTGGGTACATTAAATTTGTTTAAAAATTGATTTGACCTTTTTTAAATTATGAAATAATTTTTTTCTGTTAAAAGTTAGGGTTAGTCGTCCTCAAAAAAGCAAAATTACACTTAAAAAGATCACACATTTATTATACAAAATTGATTTGTCTTTGTTTAAAAATAATATTTTTTCAGTTTTTTTATTCCTCTGCAACATTTTGTTTACATTCATGGTCCTCTTTTTTTTTAACAATCAATGGAAATTAGTTGTAAAAACATTCATATATGCTTTATTTTTGACAGCCTATTGAATTTCAATTGGCGACTGTTGTGTAAAATGAAATTTTTTTTAATACCGTTAGTGTAAATGTTGGAAAATTAAAGAATTAAAAATATTACTTTATCAATGGAGTTTTAACTTTTGTTTAGGTATGTCCTAAATATTATTAAACCTTAAATTCTGCTAAAAGTTTTCTTCCATTGGTTAAAATGATTCGTAGGCCACTCTGATTGTGATTGAACAGGAAAGATTTCCATTAATGATTGAAAAAGCAATAAGGATTGTGAAGAGAGACCAATAGTAACGAGTCATTGAAATCGCCTTTATAAGATTTTTCTTTTTATCCATTTTACTTTAGTATGTAATATACTGGTGTATATTTTTACAGATAATTTTACTTTTAATGTATTTATTATTTACAATAACTAGTTGTAATATGTAATTTATTAAATCATTAATAAACATTTTCTCCACTAAGGATTTTGAATTACTGTGTTGTTGGTTGTATTTTCCTTAGCATTTATGGTGCATGCATCAAGCAAACTCCATTTGGGGGAAGGAAGGGGGGAAGCAAAAGAAATTTCATTGTGGTAATTGATCACAATGCAATTTAATATTCCAAGAGGGGCTTTGTTTCCAAATCTGCAAAGGATAACTCAATCTGTAGCATCTTATGTTAACTAAAAACACCAAATAAGTTTTCTTTATTTTCTATTTGTTCACAAAAAACAATATTTGCCTTAGACTGCTTGAATCAGGGAAAATTCTTTCAAGGTTATTTTTCATTAACGGTGAAATTGAACTGAAACTTTTCACCTCTGGTTGATCCACGGGTGCACTTGTAGTTGTCACCTCCATTTCGGTTTTCAAAATATATGTCCTATAGCCTATATGTAACCTAGTAAGAAGTTAAAAACTTTCCTAAAAATAACGATGCTTTAAATAAGTGTTGATTGCTACCGTGTATGGAAAAGCAAACGAAAATGTAACACAAAGGGAGCCAAGCCATAAGTCATAAGGTACAATGGCTGAAAGATAGGCTTATAATAAAACAAAATAGGTTGCCGAGAAAGCTACTTTGATGGGGCCAGGGGGTCAGAGAATGAGGGCACCAAAGATAAAGTAGGGGGGGGTACTTATTATATATATGGATACTTAATGATCTGGCGGGCGACCCCTTCAAACGGCTCTATAACACCAATACCATAGAATTTTCGAATGTACAACTTTGTTAATAGACTTGTAAACAGAAGCACGTGCACACTAGGAAAATAAAAGTTGGGTTTGGAAAGGATGTCTCGTCATTGTTTTTAAAGAGTAAGTTGACTAAACGCCACTGGTTTGAGCTGTCCCAAAGTCCATCAATTATTATATGAGTAAACGCCGCTGGGGTGAACTCCCAAAAGTGAATCCCCCCCCCCCCCCCCCCCCC